AGTAAAGTTCTTATTTCGTAAATTGACGTCTCAACATTTCTTAGTTGCTATATAACAAAACACTTAATGCCTCGTCCATCGGGAAATTAGTTAGTTTTGTCTTCCCTCGAGTCTAGATGTTTCACTGGGTTTAACCTCTTGAAACCTCGAGACTCTCGTGAAAACAAAACTAACTATTTCCCTCGCAACCAAACATTAAGTGTATGATACATATATTGTATRGTATTCCGGATAGTACGTGGGAATTCGATGTTCGGTGCTGCAAAATGAAAAGAAAAAAGTTTTCGCATTTTAAGGGTGGTTTTCACTTGCGTCGGAAACCGAATTGAAGTCGAAAYAAAGCGTTTATGATGAGTGCACTCACAAGCCCCCCCAAAAAACGTAAACATTATGCAATCTTTCYGATTTTTCTACTTTGTACAAGATGTGTTCAACTGCAATTCTTACTCCGATTCCGATTCCTTCGCTAGTGAGTTGAAAAATCGACCCTTAACTGAAAGGGCTGCAGCTTTTGATCACTTGCACTAGCTTCAAACYAAGCCTTGAGTTTGTTGAGGAGAAGGAATATGTTTTTTGCTGTTCTCGATTATCTGCAAAATACTACTACGWCAACTRCACTATCTGTGCTCCTCGATTACTTTACGGGTTCCATACCTGGTTTGCAAAGAAATATCATAAAAACACACGATTTTCGCGCTCCTGCTGCCATAACGATTATGTACTTCTTTGTCAATTTCTTAGAAATCTAGCTAGTTGATCTTGCTGCGTAGTAAGGGGAATGGGACGGGTTGCGAATATAATACTAGCTAGTACTGTTTTAAAAAAAAAAATTTTTAATCGTAAGTACCAATTCGGTTTAATAGAGATAAACGTTTTTAGAGCTATGATTATAAACATGAATTCGATTCCTTTCCAATTCGTTCAAAGTACTGGAAGCAGCTTAAACAACATCTTGATTGTTGACAGAACCTTGACAATTCGTGCAATAAAATTTTCTAAAAATAAACTCACAATAACAACCCCCAAGGTCATTTCTCCTGGAACAAAATCTGAGACTTGAATTAATCTAAACTTCTACGAATAAGAATTGCCAAAGCTTTA